ATGGTTCAAACAGAGGTACATTTCTCATAAAGTCTTTATCAATATTTCATAATGTGTACACACTGCCTTGTCAAGCTCAATAGTTCAGCCCTTTTCTGGGAAGAAATAGTGTTCTTAGCACGAGAATACTAACGGTAAATAATGTGTTTGACAATGATATTTGCTAGATAAGACTGTTTTTGCATTGATCTTAAATTCCTATAATATACAACCCCAAAACATTTAGAAGGGTTGATGTCAAACATATTTTGAGAGATGAATGTTATGGGTTATTAAAATTATAATGTGTGATTTCATACAAGGCACACCAAACTGAGTGATAGTATCATAATTTACTCAGATATCTATTAAAATTATCAATTTGAAACTTAAGAGTCATGAGGCTAAAATAATGCAGCACTTTAGGGTTGGGCTTAAAGCTAGTGATGATAAATATTGACACTTTAAAAGACTATAATCATAATTTAGGACCCAGAATAACGGTTTAAGAAAGTTGACATGAAATGAAAATTCATTTTTTAAATGCATGTTACGGAGCTTACTGAGAATGATTAATCCATGCATGGGTTTCATTTGAAAAAATTTTTGAGCTCAAATTCAAGTTGTTTCGCTTTTTAATAATCCATTTTACTTGAATGTACATCGCAATGCAGAAAACAAATTTGTTGCTGTTTTTCACGACTTTTAAAAAGTAATATTTGTTGACCACTAATCAAAATATTTGGGTGGTTATAACCTTTTATTGTGTGTCTACGGCTGGTTAGGGCAATGACACTTTGGCCCCAAAGTGAAAAACAAAATGATTTATTGAAAGTTCAACAGTAACAGTGAAGCCACAAATACCACCGTCTCCTGAGAATCACCCACGTATCAGTGCAAAAGTCAATCTAAGGGCAAATTCGGATGTATTTGCACAGGTTTTCTCTGAACAAAAGTGTGCAATTTGACACAAGCATGTCTGGATTTATATTATACAAGATGCTAAACCAAGCTCTGTTTACATAGCACACCAGTTAACAAAAGAGCCCACAGGTCCTCTGAATATGGCCACACCTTGACAATTTATGGTCACCCACAGCCAAGCCTATGGGTTAACAGCTACATCTGTGATGAGCATTTGAGTACATTTTTGTGGAAATCTGTTACCTATTGTGTTTCCCAGGTGCCTTCCACCTCCCGAAAGAAACATGTTTTCCCAGGTAACTGCACACCCTTTATAGGAACAGTCTTTCAGTCCCTTGAGATACAATTACCTGAATTTGTATCGATACTCAGGCCACAAACAAAGCTATAACCTATGTTTTTCAAGGTGTTAACATTGTTTACCTGTGTAAAGAGCTGTCTCAGCAGATCACCTTGATGGTTTAGGTATCTGATGTCTATTCTGTGCTCTCTCCTTGATAGAAATATGAAAAGGAAGTTGACGGTGGGGCTGCCCAGGGAAACATTCCTTCTTGATACATAATATTTCCCCAAGTTCAGTTCAGTTTCCCACAGTACAGATCAGTGAGTATTTGTGCCAGAACTATTGCTACACTTTCTCCTGCTCTTTTTCTCTCTCTGTATCAGGTCTGTTATCTGCACCCTTAAAGGGCTCATAAGTTTATCATTTTATTTTGTCCCCTGAGGTCCAATTATAGTGTTGGTCATCCTCTGTGACCCTTCACGTTTTCTGTTTTGCGTACAGTATAATACAACAACTCAGTGCTGCTCTCTGTAGGTCAGGTGGAGTATTGCTCCATAGTAATATTAGTGCGCATGCGCCAAACACGTACTAACGATAAATCGTTCATGATTGGAATCACTTAGTCTGAGTTTTTCCCGAAAGCAACACGCAGATGAGCTATACACAAAATAAGCTCTCTTTACACAAGTTGTGTAGAGTCTCATATCTAAAACGCTCGAACGCGCGACTGTGGGAGAGACATTTTACAATTCGCGCCAGGTTTTACAATTAACGTTAGCTTTTTTTTTTTCTTTTTTTTTTGCCTTTTATATACAAGCTTTTATTTCATTTTAAAATCTATAATGTCTCGTGACAGTTTCACAATTCACTATAAAATGTACCACACAAACTGTCATTTGTAAGTCACTTTGGATCAAACATCTGCTGAATGAATGCACATGAAATGATCACAGCAGAGGCCTTGTTAAAGGGGTCATATGATGCGATTTCAAGTTTTCGTTTCTCTTTGGAGTGTTACAAGCTGATTGTGCATAGATAAGATCCCTGAAGTTGCAAAGACTAAAGTCTCAAAACCAAAGAGATATTCTTTATCAAAGTTAAGACTCTGCCACGCCCCCCTAAAACGGCTCGTTCTAACACGCCGCCACATACCTTCCTCACTATGTGGAAATATTTGCATAATGCCACCCAAATGTGCACGCAAAGAAAGAAGGCGTGGTTTCAGTAACTACAGTTAATGTTGATGCAGCCATGTCAGGGAGACGCTGTGTGTTTCCCTTTCGGGCTCTGTCTTTACATTTATTTTGAAAGCTGACGCTCGCGATTATGGTAAGCGGCGTTACATTTCTGACGCCTGCTTGTGGTGTTCGGCCAATCACAATGCACTGGGTCAGCTGGCCAATCAGAGCAGACTGCGCTTGTCGGAAGGAGGGACTTTGTAGAAAACGAAGCGTTTGAGAGAGGCGGGGCATAGAGGACCTACAATAATGTACAGTATTTGAAAAATAATGTGTTTTTTGAACATTAAAGCATGTCAACATATTCTGTTACACCAAATACACAAAATAATGATCTTTAAAAAAGCATCATATGACCCCTTTAAAATAACCATAAGCTATTTCCTAATGCAGCTTCTAGCACTATGTTTGGTACACTTTCACGCAATTTGCTTTAATTATTAGTTTTTCTGGTGTTAGGAACATTATTATGTAACCTTCTGGATCAGGTTTCTGAACCCCAAATAGGTATTGCATGTAATTGTGCATGAATATACTCATCTGTCTGACTTCCAGAGATACGAGCCGTTTTTGCAGATTAGCTGAATGTATGGTCTTTATGAACTAGGGAGGAGCTCTAAAAGTTACACGATGCTTTCATAGTACAACTCTTTTACTCAAACAGACCAAGAAAATGTTCCTCGTTATATGATCCTTTTAAAATGCTCATATGCAACACAGACATATACATCCTTCTAATGCAAGCTAAACTTAATGAAAATGTGAGCTCATAGGTGATCTGCACCCTTCCCCCCTGAATAAACACACGCCAGCCCTCCTCCATTTTTTGCGAGGCCTCATCTGGTAATGTTTAGGGTTTCGGAGGTGCTGTATCCCAGGCACAGAAATGGGATCATCCCGTTGGGGATCGGCTATAGCGGAGGCCCCCACAGCAACACTTTGTGCCTAACAACCAGCACACACATTATTCATGTGAATTCTATGCATTATGTTTGAACACTAATAGGATGCAATGCATTGGTGTGATACGTTTTACACAACTTTTGACTACACAAAGTCAAAAAGTCTAAGTCTAAGGTAACAATGATGCATGGAAACTCTTTGATCTGAGGGTGAAACTTTGAAAAACCACTTAATCTCAAAGCAGAAAACGCAACCTTGTTTTATAAAGATCCCTAAGGCATTTGTATGGCTCATGTAGCACCACATGAACATTATTTATAAGTGTTCCCTTACTTTCCAAGAACCTCATTCCATCCGTCTCGCTTTTGTATCTCATCTCATCTCTCTCTCATTCTCTTTCTCATCACTTTATCCACCCATTGCTGTTTTTCCAACACCGTGTTTCACTCCCAGACCCCTCCGTTTCAACACACACACACACACACACACACACACACACAAAACGCACTTCTTTTCCTCCTGCTTTAATATCAGACACTTAAAATAAACAGTTTTTCTGTACAGCACAGTAAGGTCCTCTCTCCCACCACACGGATATACAGCAGAGCTGCAGTCTAGGAATTTCAATCCGTTATGTAGAATTAACACTAGAATGATCACAATGTTAAGTAGTTCCAGACAGTTTTTCATGCATCCATACATGACGACATCAGCCAAACTGGATCAATCCCATAATAACACTGAGATCCTCAAAGTAATTGCTTTAGAGAAAGACATTGCATTTAAGCATTGGTTCTCAAATTCTTCCTCCTTTGATCAAATCAGAATCTTCAACCACATACAGTCAGAATATAGTCACAAACATAATAATTATATAAGCAAAAAAATATACATCATATTTTGATTAATATAAATATTACTGTTCTTTTTTGTGTGTGTACCATGACATGTTGGGAGACAAAAAGCTTATTTTTACTTTGTACGGTCACAGATTTTTTATTTAATTGTAAATAATTTAATTTAATTATATATATTTAATATGACACAATTTAATTGTATATTTTTGTACATACATATTATTTTTCCTAAGGGGAAGTGTTAATACATTTTGTTATATAGCACTTTTTATATACTACTTATTTTGTTTTAAATGTTTTTTATTATTATTATTTTATATATAACTTTGTTCAGATACCATCCTTAAATTGGTCTGATTTTAAAATTACAAAAGCGGGGAAAGAGAATTTATGACATATTGCATTTTATATCTTATTTGTTTACTGTCATATGCTGTAACTGATATTTATTATTTTAAAATTAGTTTTTTTTTTAAATAAAGTGAACATTAAAACAAGGATTTCCATGTTTTTTTTTTAATCAATCTGTTATCTAAGACTTGCTGCAAAGGTGTTGTGCTGCCATCTAGTGTTCATAAATGGAATATTCACTATAAGAAAACATTTCCTATTAGATTTGAAAAAACACAAGTTACCACAAACTGTTTTATGACACATTTTATTTAAAAAACAAGACAAAAGCAAAGTCATAATTCTTCTATATCCACAAAACCATCTGGACCAAATTTCCCTCCCCTCTCACAGAAAATGAAAAAATATAAAAGTGTAAGAAAAGGAACATGAGTACAGTGACACTGTTGCTGTATTTATTCTGTGTATGTAAATGACACGCCCCTGAGTGCTAATCAAACAACATAGTTACCCATTATTTTCAGGTTTTGAAATCCATTATTGTGGCTAAAAGGGAGCCAAATATCCAAGACCAGGTAGATGAGAAGGTGACAACACAGATTCAGACAGGGGTACAAATTCTAATACATTAGACAAAAACACAATACAATGACCTCCCTCTTGTGATTCATAGTGTGCCTATATACCGTACAACTGTACACAGTTGTTGCAGACACATGCAAGAAGAATGAAGAAACATTTGATACTTTTCTAATATCAGTCAACAACTGCATATAAATAAGCATCCCAGAATGTAAAATACTCAAAGGGTTTCTATTACATTATGGCAGGTGTGTTCACTAGCATAAAATGAGACAAAAACAACTAAATGTGTAAAAAGTGTCTAACGAAAGCTAAGGATTGACAGAACACGTAATAATGGCCAACTAAACGAACAATGCCTTAATTACTTATAAATGCAATAACAATGCAAGAACACCAAAGGTGGCATCCAAAATTCGTCTTGATTTGTTGATAGAATTTAACAGCATAATCTAAAGGTTAGGTTACAGGTACTGAACAGATAAACAGACCGTTCTCAATCAGCTCAGGGCACAACACAACATTGCAGAACGTGACCAGAATCCTTTAAAAAAAAAAAAGCGTATGAAGGCAGGGATGAGTTAGCGAAGAAACAGACAGAGGATAGTGAACGTGGGACATGGCTAGAAAAACATTTTCTATTGTAGTTCCACCCAACTCCTTCAAACACAGCAGCCCTGACCGATTATCTATTTGATCCAGATGGTTTTTCTGCTTCCCTTTGAGGTGACAGCAAAAGGAAACAGATGAAATACATGTCATACATACAAAATTAAGATAAAAATAAAGAGCATGAAAATAAAGGTCTAGTCATTCCGACAGCCACCGGTCTGTTCCTGATACACCTCGATCACATCCTCATCTTCCATTCCCAGCTGAAACAGAGATAAAAGAGAGAGATACTGTGAGCAGGAGCGGGTTGGAGTCAATTCTTTATGCTCTTGCACAGCTAAATGTAGCTTAAAATTGTCGCTTAAAGCAGCTAATTCACCCAAAAATTTTAATTTGATGTGAATCAAAATGGATGTGAAAGATGTGAATTATATATTCATCTGAATAGATTTGGAGAAATTTAGCATTACATCACTTGCTCACTAATGCAGTGAATGGGTGCCGTCAGAATAGGAGTTCAAATAGCTGATAAAAACGTCATGCAGCTTTTTGGGACTTAATATGTTCATTGGTGGACTCGAGCTGTAGGAATTATTGTGATGTTTTTATCAGCTGTTTGGACTTTCATTCTGATGGTACCCATTCACTGCAGAAGATCCTTTAGTGAGCAAGTGATCCTAATCTGTTCAAATGAAGAAACAAACTCATCTACATCTAGGATGGCCTGGAAGTGAGTACATTTTAAGCACATTTTCATTTTTGGGTGAACTATTTCTTTAACAATTTGAAAAAAAAAAAAAAAAAAATTGATTAAAATAGTAGTTTGTGTTTAGCTGCCTCTGATTGCTTACTAATTGTTTAAGAACACTTGTTTGAAAAATTTATGTGTATCCTGAAGAAGGATTTGAAGCTGAAACGCGTAGATCTACCCTTTTAATTATTTTAATGATTTAGCCCAGTTAATTAAAGGCTTTTTATTGTTACTACAAGTGCCTTGGAGTAATTAATCTTTTCAGTTTGATATTTACCTTTAAAAATCCAAAGAGCACCGTTGATTATGTGAGAAAACCAGTGCAGCATTCTTGGCTCCTGTTGTTTTGTCAAGTAGTTTGTGTTTGTTTTCATTCAGATACAGAACAGAAATTAGCTACTTTTACATGGAGTATAAAAATCAGTTAATAATACTTTTTTGACTTTGACACACTTTTAGGATTATTTGATAAAAAGTTCAAAAGAACAACATTTGTCTGAAACAGACATTTTTTATCAATTTTGTAATAAATATAATAATAAATTAGTATTTTAGCACCCAGATTGTACATGTGATAGTGTTTATCGTGTACGTGTCCATACAAATATCATTATAGTTAGTAGTATTATATAATAAGAGCTACATAGGCCCAACAACATACCAAGTTTATTTTCAAATAAACCCTTTTCATATCACAGTTTTGTACATGGTGGATGGTGCATGTCACACACCTGTCCATGTTGGCATCTGCATAATTTGGCTAGCTTCTATCTATGATTTAAGCCAAAATACCACAGAGTTTGATTGGATGCATGGCTTTGACATCAAAAACAAAAGGGAATTTTTGTTCTCTTGTTGCAGTTTTACTCATGGAAGTGTGTACTGTACCTCTTTGGGGGTCTGGTTGTCTGCAATTCTCTGTCCCTCAAAAAGAAACCTTAGAGAGTTCATGGGTACACCCTGCATAAAATACAAAAACAAACAATGTCAAAAGACCGAAAACACCTCTGAGAGGCTGAACAAAATCAATAACCAGTTTATAATATTTAAATTTATGTCAGCAAAAATAACCATTTAGCTGCAGCATATTTTCATGTCTACTGCAGTGCTCAGAATTCCGACAGTACATTTTTACATTTCAAAATTTCATACTTTTCCAAAATCATATTTTCAGACTTCGTAGATTTTTTTAGACTATATTGAACATCTGATAAATGGTTTTAATTCCAACTGTTAATACGCATGTTTCATTCTAGCTATGTATGCTATTCTGTTGCCAAATAATTGCTGCAATATTGTAGCTAGGTACTGTAGATCATGCAAATCAACTAACTCCAAAACCATACAAGTTAAATATGCAGATTTTTATTAAAACTGCAATGCTAAAATGCAAGATTATATTTTATATGCTTTTACACTTTCACTGACAGCATACGGTTTTAAATTTTAAATTCAAATTATGTTACAAAATAATATTGTCATGGATTACATTCATTCAGAAAATTGTATTTTCAAAATAGCAGCATGACATGCTATTCAGTATAATAATGTTGGCTATACTATAAATTTGAGAAAAACATACATTAACATCATTATCACTCTTTTCAAGTCCTCACCCATAAAGTATTCATCCATATTGCATTATATTACTCCATATTCAGTATATAGTAGTCTCTCACATGCACTGATATTCTCAAATTTATAACGTGCACTTACACAATGCTGCACACCAAACAAAAAAGTACAATCTGATTTAAATCTGAGCAAATATGTGCTAGTGATGACTCACCTGTCTCTGACTGTAGGACTCCTTCAGCTTCTTTAAATGTGTCGTCATCTTCACTTTGAAGTGAATTTCACTGTTGTCCTGCAAAAGGGAATTAAATCACACATTTTGCCAGAATGACCATATTGTGATCCGATAACCTGAATTTCAATGGTGAACTAGAAAACACCTCTAATTACCTGACCGATCACTTTCAGTTTAATATATTCTCCATCTTTCTTCTCACCTCCATCACTTGAGGGCTTGGTCTCCTAGTAAAACAAAACGAGAGCCATTAGATTCTGTATGACATGTTGTTTTGTTTCCTATGCATGCAAGGTAATGACTGTAATACTTACAGTGGGGAAAATATTTATTTGATCCCCTGCTGATTTTGTAAGTTTGCCCACTTGCAAAGAAATGAAGGGTCTGTAATTTTTATGGTAGGTTTATTTTAACGGATAGAGACAGAATACAACCAAAAAATCCAGAAAAAACTCATTATATAAAGGTTAGAAATTGATTTGCATTTCAGTGAGTGATATAAGTATTTGATCCCCTACCAACCAGCAAGAATTCTGGCTGCCACAGATTGGTTATGTGCCCATGTGGAACACAGATTAGTCCTGTCACTTTAAGAAGTTACTCCTAATGTCAGCTCGTTAGGTGTATAAGACACCTGTCCACACAATCTGTATCTTCCATTCCAACCTCTCCCACCACCATGGGCAAGACCAAAGAGCTGTCAAAGGATGACAGAGACAAGATTGTAGATCTGCACAAGGCTTGAATGGGTTGCAAGACCATCAGCAAGAAGCTTGGCGAGAAGGAGACAACTGTTGGTGCGATTATTCGGAAATGGAAGAAATACAAAACAACCATCAATCGGCCTCGGTCTGGAGCTACGTGCAAGATCTTGCCTCATGGGGTAAAGATGATCATGAGAAAGGTGAGGGATCAGCCCAGAACTACACGGGAGGAGCTTGTTAATGATCTTAAGGCAGTTATGACCACAGTCACCAAGCAAACCATTGGTAACACACTACGCCGCAATGGACTGAAATCCTGCAGCACCCGCAAGGTCCCCCTGCTCAAGAGGGCACATGTACTGGCCCGTTTAAAGTTTGCCAAAGAGCATCTAAATGATTCAGAGAAGGCTTGGGAGAAAGTGCTGTGGTCAGATGAGACCAAAATTGAGCTCTTTGGCATTAACTCCACTCGCCGTGTTTGGAGGGAGAGAAATGCTGACTATGACCCCAAGAACACCATCCCTACAGTCAAGCACGGAGGTGGAAACCTTATGCTTTGGGGCTGTTTTTCTGCTAAGGGTACAGGACAACTTCACCGCATTGAGGGGAAAATGGACGGGGCAATGTACTGTAAAATCTTGGACGAGAGCCTCCTTCCCTCAGCCAGAACACTGAAGATGGGTCATGGATGGGTGTTCCAGCATGACAATGACCCGAAACATACCGCCAAGGCAACAAAGGAGTGGCTCAAGAAGACGCACATTAAGGTCATGGAGTGGCCTAGCCAGTCTCCAGACCTCAATCCTATAGAAAATCTGTGGAGGGAGCTGAAACTTCGAGTTGCACAACGACAGCCAAGAAACCTTAAGGATTATGAATAAGGAGAGAATCCGTAAAGAGGAGTGTATCAAAATCTCTCCTGAGATGTGTGCAAACCTCACCAGGTACTGGTCACCACCAACTACAAAAAACGTCTTCCCTCTGTGCTTGCCAACAAGGGTTTCTGCACCAAGTACTGAGTCATGTTTTGCTTGGGGATCAAATACTTATTTCACTCACTGAAATACGAATCAAATTCTAACCTTTATATAATGTTTTTTTTCTGGATTTTTTGGTTGGTATTCTGTCTCTATACACTAAAATAAACCTACCATAAAAATGACAGACCCTTCATTTCTTTGTAAGTGGGCAAACTTACAAAATCAGCAGGGGATCAAATAAATATTTTCCCCACTGTATTCTGGGAGTGGATTCAGTAAAACATTTCTTGGATATATTACATTATAAAATAGACCTGATTTTAATTTGTTCCACCTGATGCAGTTTGTTTGCTCAGTATTTTACTGACATCTTCAGTCTATAGTGGAAGAAACTGTAATGAGCTGTGTTTGGGTTCTTTGACTGTAAACATACAACCAGCCCTACTAAGGTAAAGAATCATGATAATGCGACCACAAGACCAAACATAGACCAACATTACCAAATGTAACAACTTTACCTAGTTAAATTATCTAAAATGAATGCAGAAATAGTGACTCAAATGTGCAGCATGGTCCATCAGCTCAAGCCAATATGAACTTTGCTTTCAGCGCCCAGAGCTGCCAACTAGCACCTAGGCTAAGTGAAAGATTTGAAAAAGAAATTCGCATATTTTTCCAAGTTTATTTGAAATTATTTATTTCAAATTTCCTGAACCAACTACAATATACGGTTTAAAACACTGCAGCATGACTTTCCCATCCACACAGTCAGTTAGCCATGAAAACACAGACAGGCTAAAAAAAGATGGGCCCTCTTATTTTCATTTTCTACAAGTCCGTCTTTCTCCTTTCCTCTCACAAACAAGTTCGATTCTATACAACAGGTTTAAACTCACCGTGTCTGACATGATATTCCGTAATGTACAGCCCTTCTTCAGATCACGAACGCTTGATTTAAATAATGAACTGTAATGTGCAGTAAGTAATGTGAGGTTTTGCTACCAGCAGACTCACAACACAGCGCCGTTGGCGTCATTGGAAAAGGGGCGGGACTTCCTATGACGCTAGTCGTTGACCCAACGGTGTTGTTTTTCTCACCACGTTCTTTCTGATTGGTTCCATTCGCCTTCGATGAGGATATTGTTGGATACTTCGGTAAAACGTGGGGAGGCATGTACTGTGCCAAAATCCAAGAGATGTTATCTCTGATTCACTAAGGATTAAAATAGTACCCAAACAGTGTTTGAAAACAACCATTTTTAAGTTGGACTGTGGATATTCAACTTTAAACCAAAATAATTAATATACATTATAAACACGCAGAGCGGGAAAGCTGAACATTAACAGTTAGGAGTTGGTTATTTAAGTGAAAAGTCTGTACATGCGGTCTTGTAAATTACAACGAAAACAATTTGAGATTCCTCTAGTTCAGACGATATTGCACATGCGCACATTTCTTTGGTAGTACTGCGCATGCGCAGACTGTCCCCATGTGCACCTCGTGGAAAGCGACTCATTGTAGCGGAAGGCTTTCAATGTGGGGAGCGCGGCAGTGAACTTTATTTAGAGCAAGAAAAATAATCAAAATGTTAGTGTTATTTGAAACTGCCGCTGGCTATGCCATTTTCAAGGTAAGCATATTTGTTATGTCGTTAAGAGTGATATGTTTTGCAGAAGTATTCATAGATTTTGGGATTACTATTAGCTAGCCAGCATAGTTAGCAGTGCTATCAGACCAATAATTTTCAGAAAGTCGCGACTCGCGAGTTAAACTTTTTAAGTATTTTCGTGTATATACGTGCTGAGTGTTTTTGTAACTATGTACTTAACGAAATTTTGAAGTGAGGTCAGTGAGTTTTGGGCCAGCGTGTGTCGTGTGGCCTGCGCCGCAGCACAGCCACGTTGTGTCTTTGGGGCTGCTTATGAGAGCTCTTCACTGTCTGATCTTCGTGTTAGGACGAGTTTTAAATTCATCAGTCATGGACAATGTCATTTAGTTCTTGCACAAAATTTTATAGAGCCGAGAAATGCTGTTTTACATAAGTACGCAGCTATTAAAGAAGTTCTTTACATGTGATTACCGGTGCAAGGGTCCACATGGTCGTTCATGTCGAGCACTCTATGGTTTGAGTTTAGGCATCTCAAAAATGACAGATAGATGGATTGTGTCAGTACATTTTAATCATCAGCTTTTTGTTTTGTGCAGGTCTTGGATGAACAGAAACTCCAGCAGGTGGACAGCCTGTGGAAGGAGTTTGAAACGCCAGAAAAAGCCAACAAAGTGTGAGTTGTACTTTTGTGAATGTAATTTTCGTGCTGTTTCGTCTAAGTAATGTCCATGATAATAAACCATTTTGTTTATGGTAGAAATACACATCTTCACCTTTCATGGGAAACTTGGAAATATCAGAGAACCTTAAAATGCTCTTTTACATGAACAGAAAGGTGATTAAAGGGGTCATATGATGCTTTTTTAAAGATCATTATTTTGTGTATTTGGTGTAACAGAATATTTGGATATATCACATATTATCTCTCTCTCTCTCTCTCTCTCTCTCTCTCTCTCTCTCTCTCTCTCTCTCTCTCAGTCGTCCATAAAATGCATTTGCTGTTCTGTTGTAAGTGATCTTAAAGATTCCTAAATGCATCTACTTCCGGAAGGCCAAATAAAGTGCTTTTGCTTTCGCCTAGAAACACACAGCGTCTCCCTGACATGGCTGCTTCAACACTAACTGCGGTTACTGAAACCACGCCGCCTTTCTTTGCGTGCTCATTTGGGCAGCATTATTCAAATATTTCCACATAGTGAGGTAGATATGTGGGGGCGTGTTAGAACGAGCCGTTTTAGGGGGGAGTGGCAGAGTCTTAACTTTGATAAAGAATATCTCTTTGGTTTTGAGACTTTAGTCTTTGCAACTTTAGGGATCTTATCTATGCACAATCAGCTTGTAACACTCCAAAGAGAAAGGAAAACTTGAAATCGCATCATATGACCCCTTTAAGTCAATTTCTGTAGTGGTTTTTTTTTTTTTTTTTTAATTAAGATATTTTCTTGGACACACATGCTATTTTAAATGTTTTTGAAATCTTTACTTGGTAGTCAAAAACAACTGGGAATCTCACCGCATTTACCTGGTTGAAATATGTGGGAAAACTAAACATTTTTTTAAATCTTGGTAATCTGCCACTGTGTCATAATCTCTGAATATTTCATTTCTTTTTATTCTCATTTGTGCATTATCTGTAACACCCCATGTATGTTTTTTCAGTGTAAAACTGAAGCACTTTGAGAAGTTTCAGGATACAACGGAAGCTCTTGCAGGTAACTATGCTGAACTGAAACATCAGCACCTTTAGTGCTTTGTTTATGGATGCAAAGCCATTTGACTGTCCTTCAGCTGTGTGTCTATGATGTATCTGTATATCTGACTCATGCATGAGGTCACTAAACAGTAATTCGTCACTACCACTGAGACCACAGATTTCACTTAATTTGTGTTTTTCTAAATATAAGATTAAAATGTAAGACAACATTAATATTAAAAAGCACACACATTCAAAATTATTTTCTTTTGCCTGTCGATGTCAGCGGCCACAGCGATGGTGGAGGGGAAATTGGGAAAAAGTCTGAAAAAAGTTCTCAAGAAAGTTGTGGCCAAAGAGGCTCATGAACAGCTGGCCATTACTGATGCAAAACTAGGAGGAGTCATTAAGGTAAATGGTGGGTTTTCTAAATGTTGGGGAAAATATAAGTACAGACCAGTGCAGGTTGCTATATTCATTCCATATGAAATCCTGTTAAAAGATATTTGCTCTATGAAACACTACAAGCTGTGATGATGATGACCTTTGCGTCATGTTGCTGAACATTCATGAGGCTTTTTTGTCACTACCTCATCTGAGCTTGTGATTACTCCTGGAAGTATTGTTTGGTTGTGGTAGAGTTATGGTTAAACATCAGGGCTGGTAATGCAAAGCTTGTGTGACTATCACTGTAGTTCTCTGCTGTTTGTTCACTGGAAGTCCCTTTAGCTGAAACTCTTTTTTCGCCCCCTGCAGGAGAAGCTGAACCTGAGCTGTGTGCACAGCCCTGCTGTGGCTGAGCTCATGAGAGGCATCAGAAACCAGATGGAGGGGCTTATCACAGGTCTTCCTGCCAGAGAGATCAGTGCCATGTCTCTCGGTTTGGCCCACAGGTTAGTTTACAGTTAAAAATTAACAAAAATTTTTTTTTTTTTGCTCGCGTCAATGATTAGTTCTTGCTGACCGATTTCTTTGAGGATACTAATCAGCATTCGTCACTACCACTGAGACTCTGAGCAGATATTCACATTACTCTCGACACATGGTTTTACACATCAATTGACTGGTTTTCTTTTCATATTTCCTCTCAGTCTTTCACGGTACAAGCTAAAGTTCAGCCCAGACAAGGTGGACACCATGATCGTTCAAGCCATTTGTAAGAATATGTTTATTTATTTGTACATACTTAAGCCCATATGTAGACAGGAAGTGACTTAAACAGCTGTTCACTCTCTCACTCTTCCGCCCACCTGCAGGTCTGCTGGATGATCTGGATAAGGAGCTCAATAACTACATCATGCGCTGCAGGGAATGGTACGGCTGGCACTTCCCAGAGCTTGGCAAGATCATCACAGATAACCTGGCATACTGCAAGAGTGTCCGCAAGATTGGTTAGTACACGCTTGGAAGCATTTTATGAGGATGTCTAGATCAGATCTTTTTAATGCTTTTCTATTTTGTTGGAAAGAAAAACTTAAATTTTCCTCACAAACAGCAAGGTCTAAAAGTCTCAGATTAAATGGAAAACAAACCTAGAAATATGTTAGATCAACCAAAAATCAAAGTTTACTCACCCTCAGATCATCCAAGGTGGAGATGAGTTTGTTTCTTCATTAAAACAGATTTGGGGAAATTTAGCATTACATCACTTGCTCAGCAATGAATCCTCTGCAGTGAATGGGTGCCGTCAGAATGAGAGTCCTAACATCTGATAAAAACATCACAATAAGCCACATGACTCCAGTCTATAAGTCTTGTGACGACAAGGATTTTTTTTTTTTTTTTTACTTCGGAGCATTGCTTCCAGCTAAATTACTGGGTAAATTGACCTGAGTAAGTTTTCAGCAAATATTTATTTTTGGCTGAACCAAAATAATAAGAAATTACATTGTAGGGTTTGTTGTTAATACTTTTAATTGTGGTTGGAATATTTGAATAGTATTCAAATAATATAAATATTTAAACTGAAGATTTCAAATAATATGTTGAACTGTATTTTTCTTGTTTCAAATGTCTAGGTGATCGCACAAATGTGGCATCAATGGATTTGTCTGAGATTCTACCAGAAGAGATTGAGGCAGAGGTTAAACTAGCTGCAGAAATCTCCATGGGAACAGAGGTGTCCGAGGAGGACATTGCCAACATCATGCACCTGTGTGACCAGGTGTGTTGAATGTAAAAATTAAGTTTAGTTTATATATTTCAGCTTTTGGTTTACATGATCAGTTCCATTGTTAATTGGAAAGCAGTTCATATCATTTAAGGAAACGTATCACCTGTAGTGTATTTATGTATTTTTTTTTTCCCTTCATGTCTAGGTGATTGAAATATCAGAGTATCGCACACAGCTGTATGATTATCTAAAGAATCGTATGATGGCGATTGCACCCAACCTGACAGTCATGGTGGGAGAATTAGTGGGAGCCCGTCTCATTTCACATGCAGGTGAGAAAGAAACAAAGAACAGAATTGCGATTGGAAATGTTAATTTACTTGATTAAACCTCTACCATTGTCTAATATTTCTTTGTTTTTAGTTTTTTTTTTTTTTTAAAACTTGTCTTGTGTTTGTCTCATCAGGATCTCTGCTGAACTTGGCCAAGCATCCACCCTTCACCGTTCAGATTCTCGGGGCAGAGAAAGCTCTGTTCCGCGCTCTGAAAACCCGTCGGGATACACCCAAATACGGTCTCATCTATCACGCCTCTCTGGTGGGGCAAACCACAGCCAAGAATAAGGGTAAAATCTCC